AACACTTAAAATGAGGAAGAAAATAACCTGTCAAATCGAGATCGACCAATGAAAATATTCATTGTATGATTCTAAGAGATAACTAATAGCATATTCGACTGGCACTATTGCGCATTTAGTTCCAATGTTAGACGTGCGTGTGTATTGGGCTGGTATGCACTCAGACATCACCAATATTATCTCAATTCGACTGAGCAGGCACTACTCAAGGGTGAAGCAGAATTTATGTTCGACTGGTAAAAGCACTTGTTAATTCGAATGTTTTCGCACAGTAATTTTTGGCGGTGCCAAAGTCACGGACTCAAAAATGCTGAAAGTTAGTGGGTGTTTATTCACATTATGTTCAGATTTTGAGATGAATGTGATGAAACAATCAGCAATTGATTCCCTATCTTTCAAACAACAGTATATTTTACGGAAAATGCCCTTTTTGCATATGATAGGAGGCAACTTTCTTCAAATAATCTGAAACCTCGATCCAGAAAAAAACATAATTGAAATAGCGAATCACTATTGGCCTCAACAATAAATGCCCCACAATATTTTTATCAATCAATCATTTCGAAAACAAAAGTAGAAAAAAAAGTTGGTGGGGTAGAATTCGATCTCAGGACTCTTCACCCAAGAGCACATACTTTTGAGAAATATTAATCATTATAATTATAAATAATTTGGAAATTTGGCAATTTTGGAGTTGTAACGTTCCTCTGGTTAGGAATAAGAGTTACACCACTTCTCCAGATAAAACTTTACTTATATAAAAAACAATCAATAATAATTTTCACTATAGAAACAGTCCTGTCTACACAGGGCGATTGAATTTGAGTAATAATATTCACACAAAACTCCCTCTTCTCAATTGTCATCACTCCTGTGATGATACTTTCGAATGTTGGAAACATGAGCTGATTGTTCCCCCCCATCTTGTTCATAATTGATATAGGATAAAACACCCTGTATGTATTTTGCTTTTGTAATCTGGAATGGTCCCTTAACAATACATTCTTTTCCTTTTCTTTGACATTGTACTAGTACCCAATCTCCTACATTGAGTTTTGGTGGTTTAAGCCTCCTTTTCCGATTTGCTTGAAATTGTATCTTTTCCTTGTACTTCAACTGTTCTTCATATGATTTCGGCTTTTCTTCAAATTTCACATCTATTTCTAGGGTTTTATCAGCTTGCAGAATTACAGGTTTCTTGAATAATTTGAAAGAAGGTGAACATCCCAAATATTCATTATGAGACTGATTGTGATGATGAACCGCTGATTCTAAGCAATGTTTCCACCCTCTCGGAAAGTTTTCATAGCATTTCATGTATTTCTTCAGATCTCTTATACATCTCTCTGCTATTCCATTGCCTCCTGGATGATATGGTGTCGTATGGACAATATTTATCCCTTTTCCAATCAGCCATTCATAGAATTCACCTGATTTAAAAACTTTCGCACAATCTGTTACAATATTTTTTATTTGATTCACATAGGGTAAGTGAATGAAATAATTTTTTAGTGCTTTTCCATTTTCTTTCAAAGATTTGGCCGAAATGTATCTTGTGGCTTCATCAATGATTACTATAAATGATTTTGTTGTCCTGTTCATATCTGATTTTTTCTGAAGTTCTGCAAAATCTATATGTATAGTTTCATAAGGAGTTTCAGAACATGTCGTCAGATGTACAAAATCTGGTTTAGGCATATATTTGAATTTTGAAATTTGACAAATGTTACATGTGTTCACGTAATTTTTGATGTCCTTACTCATTGTCTTCCAATTGAATCTGTTCCTAATTTTGTAGTATGTTTTGTAATAACCGTCATGTCCTCCAGATGATGGATCGTCATGATATAATTTCAAAATTTCTTGAATCATCTCCTTACTTTTTACCAAATATCTTCCATCAGTTGATTTTTCCAAATTATGAGAAATTAAATTACACCAAAAGGAATCTTGAAGATTTTCTGGCGTGTCAATACATAATCTTGAAATAGCATCAGCATCCTGTAGTTCTTTTCCATTTTTATGATTTACATTCATGTCAAAACTCCTAAGGAAGATCTGCCACCTCGCCAATCTGTCTCTTAAATTGCCAGTAGTCAAAAGTTGTGTTAGTGCACGATGGTCAGTGTGTACAATAAATTTGCGTCCTTCTAGGTATGTTCGGAAATGTTTTACAGCTTTTATAACTGCTAAGCACTCTTTCTCTGTAACTGAGTAATTTGTTTCAGCCTTCGAAAAAGTATATGAAAAATAGCTGATAACCCTCAACTGTCGATTTTTTACCTCATTAGGATCTCTTTGGTAAATAATAGATCCACAACCGAAATATGAAGCGTCCGTTGAGATTTCAAAATTTAAGCGAAGATCTGGAATCCTTAAAATAGGTTCTGATGTTATACTCTGTTTCAATTTATTGAAGGCATCTTCGCATTCATCTGTCCATATGAATTTTTTATTTTTGCTTTTTAACGCTTCCAATGGTTTTGCAATATTACTATAATTATGTATAAAGCTTCTGAAATGGTTCGTTAGTCCGGTAAAACATTGAAGTGACTTTATATCATATGGTCTTTTCATGTTTCTAACTTTATCCGTCAATTCACTTTTCATTTTCTTTGTGTTCCCATCTATTTCTTTTCCCAAAAATACAACTTGTCTGACACAAAATGCGCATTTCTTATAATTTATCTTGAAATTGTTGTCATCCAGTTTTTTCAGTATCCTCATAGTCATTCCTGCACATTGGTCTAATGTATAACCTCCACACATTATGTCATCGATAAAGACTACTACATTTTCCTTCAATAGATCCCCGAGAACATCTTGTATGATTTGCTGGAATTTTGCGCTTGAATTTTTCCATCCGAATGGGAGTCTGGTGTATTCATAATGTCCTTCGTCAGTAACAAATGCTGTAAATTTCCTAGTGTGTTTCGAAATACTAACATTCCAGAATCCATCTTTAAGATCAATTTTCGTGAAGAATTTACAACCACCGAATTTTTCAATGATATCATTCATTATTGGGAATGGAAATGGATCTAATTCTGTCTCCTCATTGATCTTCCTATAATCTATGCACAATCTGAAGTTACCATCACTTTTTGTTTTGATGACACATGGTGAAGCATATGGGGAATTTGATTTAGTGATAATCCCTGTTGCTAGCATATCCTGAATCTTGTGCTTTATCCAGACTTGTTTGTTCTGAGAAAATCGATAGGGCTTCTGTTTTATAATTTTGGCATCTTTCTTGAGATCAAAATCAGTCTGATAATTGGATGGTTGATTATCAGATGAGCTGAATGTTTGAGGAAATTTTTCCAACAAAGCATCTTCTGAGAAAGATTCAACATCAAAATTACAAATGGTTCTGAAAATGCCTAATATTCGCAGTGTTTGTCTCCCCAATATGAGATCAAAAGATATATTCTTCACAATGACAGGAGTTATTTCAGTATCATACCCATTAAATGTGAATTTGAAATTTGTTTTATGAGAACATTTTGTCACACCCCCCAAACTTCTGATGAGAATCTTTGTTTCAAATTTTGGTAGCTTCATTTTTTCTGCTGCATTTTCATGAATCAAATCAATGTTAGAGCCAGTATCTAATAAAGTCTTCAGTCGATTTCCATTTATCGTTATAAAAACAATGTCATCGTCAATAGAATGAGTAGAATAACTTTCATAAACTTGAACATCATTTATTTCTTCATCAATAAACTCTTCAGTACAATGATTATAACTGAGATCTTTTCTGTCCACATTTTGAAATTCTTTTCTCTTTCCCTCTTGACTCCCATAGGGTGTTTTTATATTGTTCTTTTTCTTCTTTTCTTCTTCATTCATATCCTCATAGTTCTGCCAATATTTTCTATTTTCTGAATTTTGGCTATTTTGAGGTGCAGGCAAATATTTATTGATGGTTACATATTTCAACGCTTGCAGTAATTCAGTTGAATTTTGGATCTTTCTACAGCATACTTGCTTTTGAACATAATAGGGAAGACCCAAAATCACGAGAGAAATTAAAGATTTTTCAGATAGGTTCTTTTCTGCAGAGTACAACAAACGCTGTTTCTCGAAGAAATATTCCAAAACTGTTTCATTCTTGAACTTATAGGACAATGCTTGATCCCATTTAGTGATTTCATCTTCCTCGAATGTCTCGATGAATGATATTTTGAGTTCTTGCCATGTAACACCATTTGAACTAGATTCACGGAATTGATGATCATACCATTGCACTGCAAAACCTTCCAAATTGAACCTTAAGTGACGAATTTTTTCTTCTGGAGTCCATTTGTTAGACTGAGCTGTTAATTCGTAAGTTTTCATCCATGCTGTTGGGCTGCCTTTTCCACAAAATGGATTGATTTTTTCCGGTTTTATTGACGTTTCTGTCACTATTGTCAACCATTTGGACATCAAATGATCCAACTCATTAATTCCAATGAGCAAATTTCCACGAGGATTTTCATTATCGACATTCCTCTCATCATAATTAACCTGCACATAATCTCCTCTATCCGACTGCGCCATTTGTAACGTTCCTCTGGTTAGGAATAAGAGTTACACCACTATGAATTGGAAGAATCTAATAAAGACTATTCAGTACATAATATAGAAACAGTCCTGTCTACACAGGGCGATTGAATTTGAGTAATAATATTCACACAGGAGTTAGATCTTTGGTTAGACCTAGCTTGATCTAGTCTTAGGATCCAAAAGCACATTGTCCAAAACATTCCAGTCGAATATTTATAATGTCAATATTGAACTTCTTCATTCAAATAGTACCAGAATAATTCGAATTATCTACATGCACATGCTCTAGATGGGTTCGAACAAGTAGAATTCTGTCCGAAGTTGCTGTCAAATGCGCATCTATACCTTGTCAGCGCAATTCAGTTGAATATGCTATGAATTATGATTAATATTGGGTGCCTTGGGCTTTATCCCAATACATTCCAGTTAGGTGAATGTAGAAAACTAACTTGGTGATGGTTCCATCAATGTCAGAAATTACAATTTTGTCATCCCATTTCCACTTGTACAGATGACACTGACATCTCGAGGTTCCCTGATAGGCTGTTGTTACACTGAATTCCACGTGGTTGACACCATCTTTCAAATTCAGAGATGCCTATAATAAATGAAAATAGCAAAAAAATAAACATAAAACAATCAAACACTTACTATTTGCTTTGAACTCAATCTCAGAGTTTTCCTATATTTGTCTAAAGTAGATGGAGAATTGGTCTTTTCGATGCTGAGCATTTTATCTTCTGTCGCTGTAAAATAAGAACATTTTTCAAGATGCCAAAACAAGAATATCATTATGCTTACTCGTAGTGTCTGCTGTTGCAGTATCTTCATCTACTTCCTCTACTTCCTCAACAACTTCTCTGGTTTCAGCAGTCTTTTGAATGTCAGTCAGTTTTTCTGGAGCAGGAGTCGTTTCCCTTGAAGATTTCCTTCTCCAGCTGAACCACGAATATCTCGATTCCTGTTGTTGCTTAGGATCGTCTTTATTATCGAGAAGAGGACTTGCAGTAGGCATATGAATACTACAGAGCTGATCGACAGATGACTGAAAAATAAATGACAGATACATTCAATTTCCATTCGATCTCATGGAATGAAGATCTTACTTGCACTAGTGGCCTGCCATATATCATGATGCTGGCAATGATGGGTGAGGCCACCTTCCAAGTGTAGTATTTGTCCTTGATTCGTACCACTAGACTACTGCTTTCGAAGAGAACAGGGTTGTTGCATAGATCACTGAATTTGACGACGTGCTCCAAGAATCTGTCCCGACTCGGTTGGGGGTCCCATCCACAAAGTGACAGGGAAATATCTTGTGAAAAAGACTGCACACTGAAAGAAGCGAATGGGGGGGTGGAACATTGAAACACAACCTCACTTTTCTTATTTGTTTACAAATGATTGAAATTGTTTTTCACAATTATTTTGGCATAAGAATCGTGTTTCCGGCTATTTATTGATTCGCGCATACCATCACATTGTGCTATTTATTGTACCATGCACAAAAAATGCAGCAAGAGACGAAGGAATGCGGTTAGTACATAATGATTCAAAAGTAAGTATCTACTATAGTCACTCACATATGGTTTTCATTTTGAAATTTGATAATTTCTCTGATTTCTCATCGGAATTCCTTTTGCCATAGGAGCTAATAGAAATACTCGTGAAATTTCTAAAATAATGCAAGAAGATTGGATTCATGCATTCAAACGGGAGGACTGGTCTGACGTGCTGACGAATAAGATGCCTCTGACGAAATATGATCGTGCGTGTTGTAGACATTTTCAATCTATTAGCGGTATTAGCTTCTATTGCAGAAGTGGCAGACGGAATTTTAATAAGAAATGACAAAATTTCGTGATGAAAACTATGTGAGATTACTATTTACCTGAAGTCCTCGCTTCTTCTTTTGTGTATTGTACAACAGCACAATGAGAAGGCATGCTTGAATTAATGAATTGCGCAAAAAACACGATTCGTATGCCAAAATATTGTGGAAAACTTTGATTCTTCTGTAAACAAATGAAAAAAGTGAGGTTGTGTTTCAATGTTTCACAGAAGAGTGATGTTGTGTTTCAATATAACCAGGGTCGATCATCGTGCACGCGACCAATATATTCCGTATATCTCACTGTAGATTTTCATCGATCACAAGGAATACATTTAACTGCAAACTTCTTTCAAATCTTTATTCCAAACAAGACAACTATTGGAAGAATTATCTGGTAGGTAAAACTATCATCAGTATGATTTATTAGAGATTTTAAAGGAGAAAAGATAGAATTTGAATTTTGCCTTTTGATCAGTGCTATACTGGGATTCTTGTATAATAATCTTCATTGTTATTTTCTTATCCACTTTTCAATAAAAATAATAATTATTAATAGAAATCAATCAAACAATGTATTTTTCGTCAGCGTACAAAAATTCAAAATCGATGTGTAACGAGTTAACATTTTCATGGTTCTTAGTTATTTTGTGAGTTTCGTTGTAAAAGGGAGACTTTTGAAAGTTATCATATTTTATAAAAAGTGTAGAATGTGATCGTAAAAAAAGCATGCAACATATATGTGAGTACTACTATTGAACCTCAAGAATGTACCCACATTTTATGAAACATGGTGAGATATGAAATTCGATTTTGATGTTTGTGCCCATGAAACATACTATTGCTGTAATATGTATTCCCCTAATTGAAAAGTACAATGCACCACAATCAATATAGGGAAAATATGCAAAAAAACCATTGACACGTTTTTTAAAGTACTGTAATAAAGCTTCGATTATTTATCCAATAGAAATATCTTACTCGACCAAGAAAATTTTTTATAAGCTTTTGTGCCAATGTGAAAATTCTCTTGCAAATCTTTCAACATTTTCCAGATAGAAAGTAATTTGGAATTGAATAGGATAATAACTTACACTTTTGTTTGTTCCTCAAAGTCTGAGTCGATACTCTTGCATCCTTCGGCGCTGTTGGGACTTTGAGCCAGCGACGGTCCATTTCCTGATTCACAATCCATGTCGACATCTAAATTCCGATTATACAACACTTATTACATTACAAGGAATGCATCAAGCACTAAGCTAGTCTACAACGAATTGACTACAAAAACTGGTTACACAGAAAGTGCAAATAAATGAAGAATTCCATATTATGGTACCAGGTATGTCCTGTGAATTTTGGGGAAGTCTGTATGGTTTTATTCAAGCTAAAATCACTTGAGCAAGCAGGAAATTTACGGTAAACTTTCCATTGCAGATGTTATTAGAAATTAGGATTGCTATCGTCATCCATGTGCGACATGTATTCTGAAGAAGATTGTACATAATCAGGAATTGATAAACTCTGATCAAAGTTATAATTCATGTGATTGGAACACATTAATGAAACAATTAGTCAATGAACAATGAACAGTCCCTCCATAATTTATTAAATATTAATTAGTATCAGCTTTCTCAAGTTCCATTCTTTTACATTCATGTTTATGAACACTTGGCCGCAATTCAATGCTTTAAAGTTCAAATCATATCCAAATATCTGCATTAATGGATTGACTCTTGACTTTACATTATGAAAATATATAATAATGAACTAGTGGATGAATTTTTTCTAAAATTATTTATTCTTTTTCACACTGTGGCTTCAAATTTGATCATTTGTCAAAAATTGTTCAAATGGTTTCTCGAAGTCTCACAATCAGGAATAGATTGACTATCCCATTCAAAGGGTTGAAATTTGCCACTCAATAACTACTGACGTCACGGCTCTGACACACATAGTTGCCGGATGTCAAAGACCATGTGGAAATTGTCGAGCTGTAAACATTAATGAACCATGATTTATTACTCTCCTAATATGTGAAAAGGTTCAGAGGCTGTATTCTCAACAGGATGATATTCTATTCATATAAGTAATAGATGGGTATGAGTGTATAATACATATAAGTGTTACTAATTCACACCGAAGAGGATTCAGTGTGAAACGTGGCTACATCGCTCCACATGTATCATATAGTTAGACAGCGCATAACGAAGTTGCCAAATCACCAATGCTTATTCACCGAATGTTTGATCATATCGCACATGGTTAGGTGTCGTCGATATTAGAGCTACTCATAAAATTCAATGATTAGTATGTTATGCCATTCTTCCATAAAATAAAAATCTGCATTTTGTTCAATTATTATGTACTAGGGATATTTCTATAATGATACTTGCACACGAAAATGTTCAAACAACTCAACTATACTTTGCGACTTGACGTGTAGGCCAAATTTGGCAGGTTAGTGCAAAAATATTACCACCCGACATGCACGTTTCGTTCAAATCGTGTGATTTTAAAAAACTGAATAGCGCATTGTCTCATAATTTGCAACAAAAACACATTTGAATGGAATGAAAAATGTCTTCTGATCGGTAACAACACAATTTTGTGAATGTGAAAAATTCGATACCAGCTGAATGGCCCATTGTGAAAACTAAATATTGTGAAAAACTCATCGTTTGTGAAGTTTTTATTAATCTTTAATTAGTTGAATACCACTTTCTCCAAGAATGTGTATCCTCATCAACCTACTTTATTTCAGTTGCAACACAAAACGGAACGTGCACATGTTTCCAGACTCTCATGTCACATCTTTGCTCTTATCATAGCACATTCAGAACCAATATTCATACCTTTTTTGTCCTTGGTCTGATTGAAATAGATCTCTGCCACCTCTTGATCGATATTCCCAGAAGTGATGTCCGACAGATACATCCCTCCCTCCAGATTGGACTGGGTGCCATGTTTTTGCTTCATGAACGAAAACATTCCGCTCAACATGGACTTGTGTTCTTCCTGCCTAGGATTGTCACTCATAGGCGAATTCCCTTGGGATACGCTAGGGAATCCACCCCATTCCCAACTTTTTCCGCCTTCCTTGGCATCCTCTGCGAAAAAAAAAGTAGGTATTACATAATCTAATATAATAACATTTTCGTGTCATGGTGTTTGTTGCCAAATTATTTCGAAACGACTTGACCGATTTTTATGGAATGAATTGAATGAATGAATTAATTACGTTTCAAAAAACATAAAATGTCATCTAGGAACACCTCTCTTACTAGTTACATTATAGTTCTACAAATTACATAATATCGGACATAATAATCAGATTATTGATTGAAACCTGTATCAATATAGTGAATATACCCTAGTTTGTTCAATAGTATAATCCTTTTTCACTGAACTATAATATATGCTATATACAAGTATCTAATTGTTTTCATTTCAAATCCAACCTCCTAATCTAATAATGCTAACTGTACAGAACATAACAGTGGAATGTGCGACTTCATCAAAGCTTTGAATTTTTTGACACCTTCTCTTTTTATATTTAATGCTATTTTGTTGTACTCTGAAACTCCTTTATAGAATATTGAACTGATTCCATAGTTTGTCATTACTCTTGGGACTTGAAAATGTCTAGTTTCGAGAATTGTATCCGTGAATTTCCTGCCTATTTTTTGTGCATATTTGATAGGTCTGAGAATCGATCATAAGCTATTTTTTTATTGAAAAATCAAGATGACGAATCCAGTATGGCGGACGAGTTTTGTAATTATGATCCGATTATATTCAAAATTGGTTTCTGAGGGTTTTCGGGGTCGGAGATTATGATTCATTAGTCAAAATTAGAAAATTCGAGATGGCGAACGAGTCATGTAATTATGTTTCGATTATATCCAAAAGCAATATCTAGGAACTTAAAGGGTCGAAAATGATAATTCTTTCATCGAAATTTGTAAATTCAAGATGACTGATACAATACGGCGGACGAATTTCGTATTTATGATTTGATTCTATTTAAAATTGTTATCTGGTGGTTTTCGGGGTCATTGATTATATTTACGCCTTGTATATGATGACATTGTGAGAATTGAAACATACGTGTTTCAGAAGTTTCACAACATTCTGATAATATAAGTTTGTCGATGAAAAAATGCTTGATATTACTGATTTTTTGCAATTTGAATCGATCATAGGTACATTGCCTATTATAAATGCAATGAAAGAATTGAGAACTCGGTAAAGTACATCGTATTGAGTATACATGTTGAGCGAAAACAATTTTGAAATCGGTTAACAAATAGGTGAATACAAGCATGGTACTACTAAAAGTGGGACACACTGTATAATAACATGAAATGTTCAACATTCACTTTAACCGTTAATGCATCTGGTTTTTGCAATATCAATTTATTGATTCATTTGATTAAGTAAGATTGTCTTGTTTCATCTTTTCTTATGTTCACTGTTATAAACATGTAAATATATTGTTCATTGGGAATGATAAATGATAAAGATTATTCTTATTATTATTATATAATTATGATATGTTATACCATTCAATAAGTGTACAAATTATGTAATACAATAAGTGGTACTATATGCAGAATATATTTGGCGATTGTTACAGAACCTGTTTCTTAGTACTTATCTCAGTAACGAATCGATGTCATGACGGAAATTAGAATAGCAAAGTAGCAAGAGTATACAGGGTGCTCCATAAGTTATGGATCAAAAGCAGTGGGGTGGTAGGATGGGGTCATTTCTATTAAAAATAAATCAATTACAAAAAAACTGTGTCACATTTGTGATTTTTTCTTTCATATATTTTATCCGCATGGATGCACCTTTCCCCCGGAATGAGTTTATGAACTGTGTTACTTCGTATCAATAACCTAAGAGAAATGTTGTTTTCCTGAAGTTTTCTTATTGAATAATGAAATATTTCAGTTGATTTTTAAATGTCGCTGGCAAATTTGAAAACTACCCCACAAAAATAACCAATGATTATATGAAAAAATTGGGGTTTTTTATATTAATTTGTTTCTAATGGGTCGCGTTTTTCAGAAAAATTTAATAACTTTTGAACCACTTCATTTCATTCCACTTTGAGCACTGTTGTAATTTCGTAGTTGACATAATTCCACATTTCATAATAAATTTTGTACGACCAGAATATTATGGACTGTTCACCACGTCTATTTCCAGAATAGTAGGTTTATTTTCGGAATACACAGATGTATATCAAGATGACTTCGAGCATAATCAGCTGGAAAAAATTAAAATGCTCCTAATTATTATTAGACTGGAAACATTGGAAAGTACCAAAAAAATACGGTAGCCAATTTGAGATTGAGTGTTCAGAAACCCTCTGTAAATACCGAATTAGAATTCGAGTAGTTGAAGGATGCAATTATCATTCTGTTAGAGATGTATAGAAATTTAACAGGTGGGCTCACTCTTCAATTGTTTCGTCAGACTAACTCTCGATATGGAACAATTGCACGCGAGTTTTGGACGTGGGGTTCAGGTATTTGAAGATAGAGGCGCCATAATCGGAAAATCGTTCAAAACCTTGGTTCTGTGAGGGATGAATCTATTTCCATCATTGTTCTGACATATTGACGTTTCGATCCTTTGATCAGAAATCAGTTCACTGCTCTGATCCAAATCATATACGTATCCAAATATTTTTCGGTCGGTAATATGTTTCCTGTAAATATAGATTGTAACCAGGATGAGCTTAGCGAGATTCACCAATGTCAAGTATGTTTATCAAAGGTTTATCAGAGTAGGCTCCATCGATAAACTTGCAAACGACCTTCAATAGGGAGTAAGCGCACCAGTTAAATTTCATCAAAATCGGACAATAAATAACAGCTCTATGGCTTTGTGCAGTTTTTATTAGTCAGCCTGCATACAAACACTAACTTGTATCTGATAAATGCATGACAGATTGAAAAAAATTGCAAACTATAAATATAATTATGTAAGTGAAGTTTTGAGGACTGTGGCTAAATAACCAAAAATACAAAATATATTCAAAGCGATAAAAAAAAATACCACATTTCTATTCAGAAAAGACTAAATATGTATTTCGTCTTCTAAGTTGCCATCCTCAGTAGAACTGAAAAGGAAATAAAGGATAGCTGACTTAACTATCTTTTGTTAATTTCTCCAGTGGTAATTTCTGAAGAATATCCTGAAAGATACTTTAGAGTCAGCTAACTTTCAGTTTCTTGACAGTTCTACTGAGGATGGCAACTTAGTCGCCGAAATACGTATACAGGCTTTTCAAAACATAAATGTGATAAATTGGGTATATTTTGTATTTGATCATTTTTATTATTGATGTGTACAAGTTCTTATACATAATCAGTAAATCAGTAGTACAGTATGAGTAGGGTCCCTTGATGGAAATTGACGTTAAAGTCATCTTTACAGGGTACGGACAGATCATAGCTGCATTCTTTTTTAATGATCTAGAGATTTTAGTTTTGCCTACTGGCATCCCTGACATAGCTGTCACGTCACATCCATGGGCGCTACAAAAAAATTCCCAAAATTTCAATAATAGGTATGTACAGGGTATTTACTTGTTGAGGAAGATCATAATGGCGAACGAGTTTTGTAATTATGATCCGATTCAATTCAAAATTGGAAGGTATGTGGGGTTTTCCGGGGTTGGAGTTGATGATTATTTCGTCAAACTTGGAAAATTCAAGATGACGGATCCAATATTCAGCAATAGAAATTTCTAATTATGATCTGAGTCAATTTAAGATTGGTATCTAAGGGTTTTCGAGGTCGAACTTTATGATTTTTTGTCAAAATTGGGAAATTCAAGATAGCGGATCCAAAATGACGAACGAAACTTGTAATTATGATCTGATTCTATTCAAAAAATCAAAATAGATTGGAGATTTCCGGGGTCGGAGATTATAATTATTTTGTAAAAATTGGGATATACAAGATGACGAATCCAATATGGTGGACGAGTTTTGTAATGAAGATCGGATTCTATTCAAAATTGGTATCTGATGGGGGTTTTCGGGGTAGGAGATAATGATTGTTTCGTCAAAATTGAAAAATTCAGGATGACGGATCCAATATGGCGAAAAACATTTATAGTTTATATAATTATATTACTCTACTACAAATAGAAAATATGTTTGATGCAAAAGTGAAAATAACGTGCCTATAAGTTATACTGCGTATACTTATCGTATACCTACTTCTTTGTTACTTTCATCAATAAATTATTCGAAAATAATTTCCTATTTGAAAGAGACGGAAAAATCATATGTATAACATGGGGGGTGAAGTATATTCTATTCTTTATTTTCCTGCACATTTCACGTATCAATTTTTATCAGCTTTCATCTACTTTTCGTCCTATAGACGAAGTTTTATACATAGAGTGATATTAGTAATTCCATAAATTCTTCTCCAAGTTGGATTTCTGACAATATATTTAGCACAAATGACATGAGTACAGTAATCTTACTAGATACCCACATCGAGGTTTCCACCATTTCGCAATCATAAGGCTCAGCTCATTCCAGCTCTTAGATAAACTACTGCTCAGCTTGAATTCATTCAGTCAATTCAGTCAACAGAAATATATTAAGCTTTCAGTACAATTTATATGTTTCCTAAATCGCTAAGATTATGCTGGAGTAGTATTAGTAGTAAACTCTATAACTAGAGGATTGTTCATCTATATATCAGTATAGTTGAATCAGGAATTCCATATGGAAATTACGTATGATACGCCAATGACCTCGATATAACCTAAAAAACAACGAATGTCAAAAATCTAGTGTTTATCCCCAGAATTGGATAAGGATGGAACTATATAACTGTTTCACAAACACTTTAGAGTGAGAGGAGACGAGGATCTGTCCGTACCCTGTTAAGATGACTTTAACGTCAATTTCCATCAAGGAACCCTAAGTATGAGTATCACAATCGGTGAAGTTTTCTAGACACAGAACTCTCAGATAATCATAAACCTATTTAAAGTATGGACTGGCTTTCTGAGAGAGGCCAGTGACGCCAACATATTCAGAGGAGTAATAGAAGGATGAATTACTTCATGACAACCATTATTGTGACATATCAACTGACATTATTGCTCTATTAGATATGTTCATATGACCATGAGATATGACACTGGCACTATGATATTAATTTTCATTTGAAATCTTGAAAATAGGATCATGTCCAGCAAATAATTTTCACTCTTTCACATACCAATGCAAATTGTTGTTAGGAGCCTACAAAAACATGGTTTTCAATTAAATAACTAATTAATCATTAATGATCTCGAATGACACTAAGATTTTGTCACTATGAGGCATATTCTTCTTCACAAATAAATATTCAAGTGATTTTCGGTGATAACCTGATTTCTAAATGGTTGTAAATTAAACTTTGTTGAAAAGTTCATGTCTGTCTCGAAACTAAGTTGATTTAGACCTTCCAGCGACGAATTAATATCCACCTTGTTAGGTAAATATACTATTATTTTTCTAAATATTCAACCCGGAGGACAGAAATTCACTACTATTTTTTGTGTAACTTTCGACAAAATTTCGACAAGAATATGATTTATAGTGCAACAGTATCAACAGTCAAATTACTAGGAAAAAAACTCTTTGTAGATTTCATAATCACGTTTCTTTAGATCTGTGCTCAGAATAGGACAGGATTTTGGATAAACAAATTATACTAAAATAAACTTCCAGAACGTCGATATGATATATTTAGTTCATCGGAGATAGAAAACAGGTCAATTTTGGTTGATTGATTTCAAAAACTGACACACTTATTGTGTGAATATCATTACTCAAATTCAATTGCCCTGTGTAGACAGGACTGTTTCTATAGTGAAAAAGAAATATTATTGATTGTTTTTTTATGTAAATAAAGTTTTATCTGGAGAAGTGGTGTAACTCTTATTCCTATCCAGATGTGATTCGTTTTCTGAAAAAGTATCAACAACAAAGTAACAACGCCCTTCTTGTTAGAGTACGAAAAATGGAAATATTGATACCACCAGGATTCAGTCACTTGTCTTAATTTTATGCTCTTAAGATGCCTCGAATGCACGTTAACTGTTTAATTGGAATTGACATACCTTTACGTCCTTTCACTTCAAATTCTGAATCAGACAGAACCGTTTCAACATTCACAGGTGAACCACTTCTCGAATCATTGGCACCATTCGTTGTCAACTCTGTATCACTGAAGAAGTGGAAATCCGCATCAATTCTTTTGATGTTCGAAGAATCTATGACTGGATTCATTTCATCCGCCTGTTTCGTGTGACTTCTATAACAGAAAAGAACATGTTTTGCTAGTCGAAATACTCATTAACCACTTGAAAACTCACAGTTTCGGCTTGTCTTTAACATCAGGATCTGAAGAATTACTATCTAAAGAACTTCTATCAGTTATCGTATCTGTGTTTTCTAAAAAATCAGAAGTTTGACTGACAGGAAGCTGATTAGTGCTGGTTGACTTCCTTGGAGCATTTTTTCGTCTGACTCTTTTTCGCCTCTTTTTACTAGTCTTGCCATCATTCGGAAGGTCTTCCACAGATTTTGGAGGAGTAACAGTTACATCTGGCTTTGGATCTTCAACCTAGAATCGAAGAATATACAGGGTGTATCTAAATAACATCAAAAAAATGCAAGGGGCGATTCCTTGTGATATTTTAGGAAATAAAGTTCATATAAACATGTGTCCTAACTTCTACATTGTCTTTTCATCGATTTCAATGAAACGTTGTGGTTTTGTTAATAGTAATTCGCGAAAATCACGAAGTGTGCGGCCTCTGGTGGCTAACTTTGCAAGAAGAAGAAGAAGAAGAAGAAGAAAGTCTTTATTGTCCTAAAAACCTAAAGTTTTTGTTGACAAAGCATGTGTATCATAAGCTATAACTAATATTAAAACTACATAAAATCATGTAAAATATGCACATATATAAGGAACAAAACATCAAGTCGAACATATACTAGTAAAAGTCACACTATAAAAAAAGGTATTAAACAATTAAAAACGAATTATACAAACTGACAAACTTAATTAAATGCGTCTTCATAAAATTCTTGCAAGGTATAATAGGCTTTATTCAGTAGTAGCTCTTTTACTGCCTTTCTAAACTTAATATGTGTTAGCAATGAACGAATATGTGAAGGCAGGTGATTAAACATTTTTTTGGCATTATAAATAAAAGACTTTTTTATTAATGTACTTCTAGGAATTAGTAGGGAAACCGTACAGTCAACATTTCTTGTGTTGTATACCGACATCGAATGAATGTTCGTGGTATATTTTTTGTGGATCATACATACACTCTCTAGAATGAAGATGCAAGTCAATGTCAGTATTTTCTGAGCCACAAATAAGGGTTTACATGGTTCTCTGAATTTAGCTTTACTAAGGTATCTAACCGCCCTCTTTTGTAAAATGAACACAGAGTTCAAAAGAAATTGAGAACTATTCCCCCAAAAACAAACTCCATATCTCAAAATTGAGTCAATCAGGGCAAAATAAACTGATCTTGCTGCAGATTTATTCAATTCAGATGAGATGACTCTTACTGCAAAACAACCAGAAGATAATTTTCTGCATAAATTTGTAATGTGGGTGTTGAATGAGAGACTGTCATCCACATAGAGCCCTAAAAACTTAGCCGAGGATTGAGTACAAATTCTTGAGTTTTCCAGAAGTATATCATTAAGAGTGCACTTGAACGTCAAAATACATGTTTTAGAAATATTGAATGATAACTTATTCGCATCACACCAATTTTTTACTTCCAATATATCTTCAGCGACATAGTTACTCAGTTCGTCATTATTGTTGCTATGCCACAGTATTGTGGTGTCATCTGCGAACATAGTAAACTTTCCTCTAATAGTGATATTTGCTAGGTCATTTATATATATTAAAAATAAGATTGGTCCAAGCACAGATCCTTGAGGGACCCCACACTTCACTAACTGAGACCTGGACTTTATTTTGTTAAGCGAGACTATTTGAGTACGCTCTGATAGGTATGATTGGAACCATCTTAGTGTAATATCTCTAAAGCCATAAATTTCTAATTTTTGAGTCTTGCGAGTATGAACAACAATGACAACAAATATGGCGACCATTGTTTTGAGTTTCATAATTATGTGTTTTATTTGAAAATAATTTATTTGTTGAAGTGCATATTCCAGAACCTAATTTTTTCCTGATGAAAAAACTCGAATTATTGCATGAACTTTTATTGTTTACAATGAAGAAACCAGTAGTACCTACCTTATAATAATATAATATACATTTCCTGAAGCACAATTAGAATCATTGTATAAATGTTGGTTGCAATTTTATTTATTTCAGTTATTTCAGTTATTTCAGTTATTGCATTACATTCTTTTCTTCATTGATACATTTCATACAAATAATATATAAAGTATAATTAATTTTCTAGTAGGAATGACATGAATGATCAGACAGTAATTCCTGGTATAAGATCATTCATGAAGTATTATCGACTGTTGTATAATTGAAATTACAAATAGTGAACAAAACTTACATATCATTAAGATACAGTCATATTATAGTGAACGAGAAGGGGAAAAATAAAAACAGTGAAAAAAAAAAAAAAGAAAAAAGGAAATTCATGGTCTTTCAGCTTTGATCATTCCTTTGCATATAAATATATTTCTTAACTTTATTTTTGAATTGCATAATATTTGGGCTGTTTTTGATAGCATCTGGTAATTTATTGAATTTCGAAATCGCCTCATGTGTAAACTTTTTTTGCCCAAGTTTAGAATTTGCAGCTTCAAGATGAAACAAGTTATATTGTCTAGTGTGATGATCATGAATTTCAGAATTCCTGATTAATATAAAATTTGATTTAAGCTTTTTGTTGATGATATAATAGGAAATTTTGAGAGTATTGATTAAAAAGTGCTCTTCCAAAGAAAATGTGTTTGTTTCCTTATACAGTTGATTCGTTGGAGTGTCATATGGAAGACGATACAATACTTTCAATGCCTTTTTATATAGAACGATCTTGAGAATAATTTCAAGTCCTCAATTGTTGGAGACCCTAGTTTATGTAAATGATGATTCTGAGCAGCCTCTCCAACCATATCTTCTTTTCCAACACCTTCACTAGAATCCCATCTCCTTCATAAAAGGCAGTGATATTTCTTGATGAATTCAATTATTTCTTCATACCTATACCATATTGTTGTAATAGCTAATTGCTTATATAGTTCCATTCCAGTCCATGCAAGTGTTGAGTGGACCATTCAGACCATCCATATGTTTGAAAACTGTGGAATTGTAGTGTGATATCAATGATGAATACCACCATTGTCCTCATCAAAATGACAATTTCTCTGCTCATACTGGAAACCTTGTACGTATTTCACGAAATCAACTTATTATTCACTATTTTGCAAAATGATTTCGAAATAACCAATTTGCAATGAGTGCATACGGCAATGTTTTTGTTGTTCATACTCAGTTTGAAATATGACGTTGATTTGACGTTTAATAGAGCCATCTATTGGTTCGTGATTTTCGCGAATATGGAGCTTCTTTTAGTGAAATCAGATACGAAATAATATTTTCAGTGGCGTCAACGTAAGTAAATTTATCGATATTCATGTTGAATGTACACCACCAGTTTTTTGAGTTTCATATTTTTATTAGATTGAACTATTGAAATAACAACTGTTTCATCCTCTGTGTGATTTTTGTATTTAGCTTAGTTTTAGGGGAAACAATGAAAATTCGATTTTACTCCCAATTTTAATGTAGGTGTTTTCAAGACTTCCATTGGGATTACTCAATAACCCCAATTAGAATCATTTTGAAATTTTGGGGCTTTCTCAGTCTCCATCCATACTGAATTTTGGTACCATGAAAGCTTCTACAGGGGGGTTATAAATAAAAACAATTAATACTTCCAACTTCAACATCCTGTATCTCAAAAACGGAGCAAGTTAGGACACATGTTTATAGGAACTTTATTTGTTGGAATATCGGTGTTATTTAGATACACCCTGTATCTTTCTATGATTGGTTATTGATCATACCTAATATTGGCGAGCTGTTTCAAACTTGTACGAATTCTACATGGAAATAAAATGTGTATATGTTGTTGATATTCTAATGGGGATATAATAGGTACATTAGAGCTGAACTTCAGGTGAAATTGTATTCTTTCACAGTATTCACAATGAATTAATTTACTAACATGTCAAGAAATGAATGTTCCACTTATCACATTAAAATGGGAAATTTTGCAGGAGAGTTGCTTGTACTCATACGGAAACAGTGTATGCTTGTTCCCCCATCAGCTGTTCAATGACCGACAGTGCTCTATCAGTGCTAATTATGCTAATCTATATTAAACCTGTAGAAATATAATTGTTGATGAAGTCCCCCTCCACGTTGATAGGTTAAGTGGAAAAAATAAATGAAATGGAAGAACTTTATGATGTAGTTTACCTTACTATGTTCCATGTCCAAACTATCCATCTTGAATATAGTTTCAGATATATCGTTATGACTCTTGCTCAAATCTTCACTACTGTGTTTTCCAGATATCATAGAAAGTGTCATTTCTTCTGCAGACGTTTCTCCCACTTCAATATTACCAAGATTAATATGCTTTTTGATAAAGTTTCGTCCTCTAGTTGTATCGTTTTCATTATCTGTAGTATTGCGACGCTTGGTATAGTCATTTTCCTGGTTCTCTAATCCGAGTTTCGTAATATCCTCTAGATCAAAACTCCTACGTCTACCCTATAAGAACATATACTTATAGAATTTAGAATATCATCCGAACATGTCCAATAAATATCATCAAAACACAAGAAAACCAAAGCTCTTTTTTTTTGAGATCACAAGAGTGTCTTTACTCGTTGTCGATATAGTAATATGAGGTATTAAGAGAAACAGTTCAAATAATACATTTTCAACTATACTCATTCAGTATCATTGATAATAAGTTCACTGTTTTGTGATGTTTATACTATTTAGACTCAGTATTAATCTATCTTATTGAAACTTTTGGAATTTTATCTCCTCGTTTTTATGAATAAAAAAGTAAATGATTCGAGAACAAGTAAACCCAACTCACTGCCACAGAAACAGATGTGGTAAACAATCAAAAACAATTTGTAACTGTCCATTCTCGTTCAATGAGAAAAATAGTGATTTGTTCAAAAATACCTCCAAATGTACTTTTCTGTAATTAATATTTCGTTAACAATGATTTTACATAATAAATTAGTGAGATTGTTGATGATTTTTATTCCTGTCATCTCAACGATTTCACATTTATCTCATGTAAGAAAGAATAGAAATGAAATATAGGTACTTACTTGACTTTTGAATATGTTCTCAATTTCTGAGACAGGTATAGGGGAAGTAGCTAGGTGCTCGGGAATTTCGATTTCATCATCATCTTCCAATCCTTCCACAAAGAAAGCTTCTCCACTCTCTCCTAATTTCATGTGTATTTCTTGTGGTTCTCCATTTATTTCTATGTCAACCTTAAAACAAATTGAAAGGAGGGGTATATAAAAATTAAGATGAACATGTGAACTCAACCATGACAAACATCAACTTGATGGTTAGTATTTTTCACTGTTGGGTGAACATATGACTTTAATATTTCATTCCATGACAAAATTCAAGGAAAACAACATTTTTCTTAGGTTATTGATAAGAAGTAATACACATGTCATAAAATTATTTCTGGTGAAAGGTGCATCCATGTGGATGGAATTTGTAAAATGAAAAGTAAAAAATGTGACATAGTTTTATTGTGATTAATTCTTTTTATAGAAATGAAAAATCATTGATAACTTTTGAACCATCAACAATTGGATAACCACATATACGGTTAGTTTTGTTTGATATGACCCCCCCTACCACCTCACTTCTTTTGATACTCGACTTATGGGACACCCTGTATAAGCAGCACACTAGAATAGGATATTTAGTTCTAATCTTCTCCTGAAGATGCTAACATAGTTAGCGAAACACGTGTCGAGGCGTTAGAAAAATCGTTTTGATTAGTTTCGATATACTTGTCACTTGTAACAATCGAATTAGCGGAATAATTATTAGTTTTTTTATTTTTTTTATTTAGCTAACCTACGGATTTTGATGGATCGGCCGTCCAATTAATATACATAGGCTATGACTATGAATTGAGTAGTACAATCATATGAAAATAATATTTGTTCAAAGATCAGATGATATTTGGGACGGTCTCTATCGGAGATATTCACCTTGGAAGGTGACCATCATAAGTGGGTTTTCAGTTGATAACTTCTCGACGGTCACTCCTAATCAAATAAAATTCTGATCAAGTATGTATGAGATAAACTTCGTTATATTGATTGAACTTTTCTAGGAAAGCAGGAAGCAGAGACGGACTATACATCGCAGAATTCAAAATAAAATGTTTATTCAACTCAAAATGCTTCGGTTGATGTTAAACCATTACGTAGTGTTTTAAATCGGGTGAGAAACTGCGGTAACAGCTCGTGGGATTTTTAGAAAGTTATAGCACAGATTGTAGGTACTAAGAGCTATAGGTCAGGGGCGGATTCAGGCAATGTTTGAGGGGGAGGGCGTATGAGTATAGCAAAAAAGAAAGAAATTTTCATTGGTGCCTTCTGAAAAAAATGTTATTTTTTTCTGAAAGAATGATTCTAGTAAACATGTTTAAAAAAAAAGTTCCAAATATTCGATACATTTCATTAATATAAGGCTGACAAAAAACGCCCAAAGCGTTATTGCGCCGCTGTTAACTATTCGATTTTAAAAAACAAAAACGCGAGAGAAATTAGCCATCAAATCCTATGAGTAGGCTTAGATCATTATTTTTTCAAATTCCAACAGAAAGCGACTGTTTTTTTGTCAAATGGTACTATATGTTTTTCATGTTCGAGATTCTTTTTTTGAATACGAAGATAATATGACAAGTTGATTTTCGACCAAAATTAGTTGAAATAAAAAATTAACTCTCAAACTACAATAGATATTTTCATAAAATCTTGATATGTATCATAGAATGTGGCATTTAATGTCAAAGGAATCAATGTCAATGTTCCATTTGTCAAATATTTTGACACCATATGTAATTTCAAAGTATGTGGCTTTGTTAACATAACGACGGGCAGTTTGAATATTTTAACTCTTTTCACATCAAACTTTAAAATCACATTGTGTGGAAATATCTGAAAAATGGAATACTGACATTCATTTCAGTGATACTTACTATAACATTCAATGATGCGTCCTCGGATGCATCCCAAAATTGTATGTCTTGTCAACTAAGCATTTATTTTTTATTTCAACTAATTATTTTCAAAAGTCAACTTGTGTTAAACATCACTGTATTCCGAAAATATTCTAGATCAGAAAAAAAAAACATTATGCATTGCGACATTTAACAAAAAAGTTGACGCTGACATTACTGTTGAAACTCGGAAAAAAATATTATCAGAGCCTATTCATAATTATTATTAGGTATATGATGAGTAATATCATTTGCTCTTTTATTTCAAAATCGGATCATTAATAGCAGCGCTATGGTTTGAGGCGTTTTTTATCAGTCAGTCTGTATGTAGTTTTCCCAAAAAGGTTTTTTTTATCGCTTGGAGCGCACGAAAGGGAATCCCTATAATGTTCAAAGAACATCGTGCGTTCTTAGGGAGGATAGGAACAGGAGGTAGGTATTGGAATTTTTTTTGAACTTTTGGAGATTATATGTTGTTGGGAATACTTCCACAGGCAATGAATTCCAGAGCCTAGCCGTTCTATGGATGAAGGAGTCTTGATAAAGTGCTGTTCGACATCTTTCGAGGTTGACAACGAAAGGATATTGCTAGTGAAGGGATGATAGCAGAGATTTCAGAAGAACATTTCCCGTGGAAGTATCGATAGAAAAGTGAAAGGTCGCCGACCTTTCTACGGTGTTCCAATGATGTCAAAGAGTGAGTGAGTGTGGCGTCACCCATCAGGCGAATGGCTCTTCTCTGGATGGAATCTAAGAGCATCAGCGTATGTTTTGGTGCTGAACCCCATATGTGGGAACAGTATTCTAGAACAGGCCGTATCTGCGCTTTGTAGATCATGAGAAGCTGTTGAGGTGTAAAGTAGCTTTTCGCACGGAACAAGAATCCGAGTTTTTGTGAAACAGCTTTTGCGATAGATCTGACATGATTACTCGAGATTGGTTAACAAAAATGAAAACAAAGTTCTCTCGAAATTATTGTTGCCCGTTTTTTGAGGCTCTTCAGTAAATTTAAAAAAAAAGCTACAAATGTTTCAAATTATGCCAACCTGTTGACGATAATCATCTCGTATAGTACCATGATTTATTGTTTTATA